AAAAAAAAAAAAAAACCCCTAGTGGTTCTGTACCATTACCTACTCTGCCCTACCATGGCCAGTTCTGGGTCTCTCTCTCTCACTCAGATATTCTTTATTGGGAAGGCATTACCCTAAAGGCTCTGTTTGGGTGAAATGGATGTATAAGTATAGGTGCAATTTAGGCGGCTGAATTTGAACCTAACCGGACATATTCACCAATTGAGCAACTATTTTCAGTTCTTGAATTGAGTTTTGATTAAAAAAAAAAATACTTAACCCATTTACATTTAAAACAATATTTGGTTTGAGATATGAATTTGGGATTTAAGTTCCAGTCAAATTTAACGTTAATTTCAACGAATAATAAAATCTGAGTTTCAACTTGAAAATAAAACTCGTAACTAAACCCAAGGTTCAACTCGAGTTACCCAACTTAGTTTAATCTAGATTCAAAGTTTTAATAGATTTGAATTCAGATTGAATTCGAGCGAAAGGTTTCTACAATTTGAATTGCAGTCAACTGGACCTTTCTCGTATCTAGGAGTATGGAAAAGAACAATCTAAGAGTTCATATTTGATCCATCAAACTGTGAATGCACATGCTGGATATTAACTGCAAAAAGGGATAGAGGACAGTAGAAAATGCATAATGTGATATATATGGTTACATTTAACTTCTTGTGCATGAAGCTAGAGCATGAACGTACGAGCTGCATGTGGACATAGTTCAAGGTACCCAAAGAGAAAAAAAAAATAGGTATTGTGTCAAAAATTATGATATTTAAAAATCAAGTTTCACATTTTAAAATGAAACTTGCGTTTTAAAAAATTATAATTGTAACTTTCATGATCGATGATATCATGTCTTTTATAGAGCCAAAAATAGTTGTTGGAACACAATTAGTTTAGTCCTAACATGAACCGTGAGGGGTCAGGGTTTAAAACTCATTCAGTAGTGATAAAAAAAAATAGCAGGTGATCGTAGTATTTGATCGGTTAAAATTCTATAGGGAAGATTAACTAGAATTGCCTAATTTCGCAATTGTAAATCATTATAAATCTTACTAATAAATACTACCTTTCTCTTATGTTGAGTCACAGGTAGACGTGCCATATGCATGAAAACTCAGCACAGTGTGGTGAAAACATTTGACAAGCATTCTAGCAAAACAGAGACAGAAATGTTATCCTCACCAAAATTTAGAATTAAATAAAGAGTCCAATGACATGGTAGATACTTACCTTCCGAAAAAAGACATGGTAGATATTGATACAATAATGCTATGTTGACTAAATTTAGAGCCCAAATGACATGACAACATATTATTTGGAGTTTTTATTAGGGCCCAAATGACATGGCACCAAATAAAAAAGTCCAAATCAACTGCCATGTCATTTGAGCTCTAAATTTGGTCAGTGTAGCATTCCTGATACTGATATACACTATTTGTCCTTGATTTGGAGAAGACGAAAAGATTTTACTGGCAGTTAATTAGCAACTGCCATATCATTGAAAGCATTCCCTTGAACATTCCCTTACAAATAAACACTTCTGATCCTAGCCATATGACCACAACGTCCTTAACTATGATTACCTGGAAGGAAGAACAGCTTGAGGAACAAAAGAAGTATTTGTTGTTTCTCTATCAACTAGAGCCGCTAAGCCTTCTGAAACTCTTTCAAAATTGCTTGAAAATCTTTTGCAAGCTTACATGAGTGCTTAGAATTGTAAGTAAAAATAATAGAAAATGATAGTCCTAGAGCTTCTAGACAATATTAGTCTTCAACATTCCGATAAAAGTATCTACCATTCATAAGAATTCAATTCAAGAAATAATAAACAGACAATAACCTAATTGATCAAGATATCCAATATTTCACATACACTTGATTGTTTTATAAAAAATCATATTTAGTGCAAATAGAAAAGAAATTAATTACCAAATGAATAACATGAATGTTGATGGGTTAAGACCAAATAGTCCAATTTATGTGTTAAAGTCCAACCCCGGTTGAGGAGCCCAACCTCATTTTGATTCCACCAAGCCCAAGACAGTTCAAGACCGGTTAGACTTCTTGCTTAGCACATCACCAAGAGGAGAGCACGGGAAACTTATCTGCACCACCAAAGGAAACGGTCCAAATCCACCAAGTCCAAGACCGGTTAGACTTCTTGCTTAGCACGTCACCAAGAGGAGAGCACGAGAAGCTTATCTGTACCACCGAAGGAAACGGTCCAATCTTTGACCACGTTTCATGAAGAGCTCCCCAACCTCCTCCTTCCGTTGAGGATAAGTCGTAATCTCCACCAGAGTAATCTCTTAGCTGCGATAAAGAAGCCTTGAGGATAAGTCGTGAT